ATGGGAATGGAGTCATTATCAAAGAATATGCTATTTAGTTGACCCTTCTCAGGGAGCCAACAGTATTGCTAGATCGCCAGTTTCATGAGGGCAAGGGCCACATCTACTCTGACCACTTCATTTTCCTACCAGCTAGAGCACTGCTGTTCTAGATCTAGTGAGATTCACTCAGTTTGTGTCTGACTCTCTGCAACCCCGTGGACTATACAGTCCATGAAATTCTCCAGGCCAGAATACTCGAGTGGGTAGTTGTTCCCTTTTCCAGGGGATTTTCCCAACCCAGGGATTGAACCCAGGTCTCCCACATTGCAGGTGGATTCTTTACCAGCTGAGATACCAGGGAAGCCCAAGAATACTGGAGTGGGTAGCCTATCCCTTTTCCAGTGGATCTTCCCGACCCAGGAATCAAATCGGGGTCTCCTGCATTGCAGGCAGATTCTTTACCAGCTGATGGGTACCCAGCTTCCAGTACCCAGGAAGCCCTAGGTACTTAGTTGAGTAAATGAATGTATTTTGAACTGTCCCCTGTCTTCCAGGAGATTGACACCTGCTCTGGGACAGCATCTTTAGAAAAGCAAATAAGTGAAAACTTGAGAGTTTAAGTTCACCAATAAATGAGCTCTGAACTGAGCACAGGCAGCGGAAGGACGGGGACCTGTGAAGCCAGACTTGGGTTTGTTCTCCAGCTCTGCTGATCATTAACTTGCTGCCTTTGAGCAAGTTGCTTTTGGCTGAGCCTCAGTCTTCTTCCTGGAAAAATGGGTATCGATATCTTAGAGATATTGTGAGAGTTAAAGACGAGTGTATATGGGAACCTGGCCAGCTTGAAAAGCCAGTGATCTTGTTGTGTCATTCAGTCTCTCTAAAGCACCTCCTTCTTTGATTGCCACCACCTCCTGTAGTTTGATCCAAGCCTCACCTCCCCTCTTAGACCTTCATTCATCAGCCTTGGTCTCCCCTCCCTCCCCTGACAAGGATGGACTCCACCTGACACCCAGCACCCTTGGCCAGCAGCTGTTTAAGCCAGCGTGACCAGCCGTGCACAAAGAAAGCAGACGGAGTGGGAGCTCTACATGGAATCTCCGCCTTAAGCTTTCAGTGTCTTTTTCATTAAATATTCTTTAACTTTTCATTTTGAAATAATTGCAGACTTGCAAAAAAAAAATTGCAAAAATAATACCAAGACTTCCCATATGCCCTTTACCCAAGCTTCCTTAAATGTTAACATCTTATATAACCAAACCATTTTCGAAACCATGGAGAGCACACTCTACCATCCTGTTAACTAATCTACAGTTCCTATTCAAGCACCATCAGTGGTCCCCCTGACGTCCTTCTTCTGACCCAGGACGTTCTGTGGGATTTAGTTGTCAAGTCCCTTTGGTCTCCAGCCTCTGACAGTTCCCTCACTGGCCTTCATGTCCTTGATACTTTAGACAGATGCTGCTGACCAGTCATTTTGCATCGTGACCCTGAGTTTCGATTTGTTTGACGTCTTTCTTGTAATTCATCTACAGTTGTGCATTTTGAGCAAGTTCCCCACGGGTGGGATGGGGTACCCTCCCCAGTATGTCATATCAGGAGGCACGTGACGTGTCTGCTTACTGGTGACACTCATTTTGGTCACTTGATTAAGATGATGTCTGCTGAGTTTCTCCTCTGTCAAGTTACTCTTTTCCCCTCGATGATTAATAAAGATTTTGTGGGGGAGGTACTTAGAAGGTATGTAGGTATCTTGTTCCTCATCAGACTTTTGATTTACTTATTTCTTTACATCTATGTAGATTTCTGGCTTGCTATTTTATCTAATGGGTCATCGCATTTTACTGCTAACATTGCCCCTTCTTTGGCCAGTGGGAGCCCCTTTAAGCTGGCTTCTTTTTTTTTAATTAATCTATTTTAATTGGAGGCTAATTACTTTACAATATTCTAGGGGTTTTTGCCTAAGCTGGCTTCTTATCCTTTTATTGCATCTCATCATCCTTTTTTGCTTTCTGACATAAGAAGATACTCCCAAGTTCATCTTGCATTTTCCCTACCCAAATCAGCCATTTCTCCAAAGAGCTGATTCCTTTTGGTAAAGAATGATATTTAGAAACCAAGATTTGAGGACTTGATGTGCTCACTGCTATCTGGCTGTCACTTGTTGCTGTTTCTGTACCCTCTCTACAGAATGAGCTAAGAAAAAACACATATGTAATGTGTATATACACATGGATAGTTCTCTATTTGTGTATGCTGAAAACCATACATTCATAGCAGTACCTTCATTTCCATTCTGACACCGCAGGGTTTATTCTACCTTTTTCTCCATATGTTATGTCCCTTCCCCAACAGCGAGGCCCCTGGCCCCCGTTGTCCTTACTGTATGTATAAACTTGATCAGCTCCCCCATATGTAACCATCTTCCATCTCTCTCACCCCTCTCTGGTTCTGACACTCTGCTCTAGACTACCTCCACCTCCTCACCCTGAGTGGTCTCTGCCTTCCCATAAAACTCTCAGTTTCTTTTTTTTTTTAGGTCTACCATTTTATTGCTACCAACCCATCTCCCTCCACCCTCATGCTTGGTCATGTAACCCCATGGACTGCAGCCCGCCAGGTTCCTCTGTCCATGGACTTTTCCAGGCAAGAATATTGGAGCGGGTTGCCATTTCATTCTCCAAAACTCCCAGTTTTGAAATGGTAGCTCATATATTATTTAAACCACGAGGCCCAGTTTCTGACTGTGCCCTGGCATTAACTGGGCCAGGAAGCTGGCTGGTAAGGCCCTCCTGCCTCTCCGGCATCCACTTCCTCCATTCCCGCCCCCCCACTACATGCAGGTGAACTCAGCCCTTCAACACACCAGAGTCTGTCCTCTTCTCGGCCTCTGCTCTTGCTATGATCATGGCCTGGACCGGCACCTGCGCTTTTCTCCCACCCTCCAGCTGTGTTCAGACTTCACTTCTTGCAGGAAGCTTCACGCTTGCCCCGGGTGCCCTTTGCGGGCTCCTCCACCCTGTGATGCAGCGCCGCTGCGTTCTCCTTTTCTGCCCTCCTTTGCTCTGCTGCTTAACTGTAGGTGCACGGGGCCAAGGGCCGGTTTTATCTCCCGTCCCCAGCACGTGAAGGAGGGCTCGCGCACAGTAGGTGTTAGTGAGTGTGTGTCAAAGAAGCCTTCATCACGGTAACAGCAAATAGTCATAGAGCACTTCCAGATCCCAGGCGTGCTCTAAACGCTCCATGTTACGCACCGAGTCGTTTGGTCCCAGTCCCTGTGCTGTGAGATGGTTGCTGTTGTCCCCGTTTGCAGACAAGGGAACTAGGGCACAGGGAGGTGAGGCGCCCAGGGTCACACAGTCGTAGGGTCACATTGGAGCCCAGGCAGGCTCGCTCCCCAGTGCGTGCTCTCTCCCCTCTGACCTGCCTCCCACAGGTAAGGGGGCAGCGTTTTCAGAATTAGGGAATGACAGTTGAGCCACGTGAGGCCCCAGTTTTTAGTGCCCCCTGGGGCCTACGCACCAGTGACTGGTGGCTGAGCAAGCAGGAGACAAAGTGATACCTTTTAGCTCTGTAGCCCGCAGGGGTGTTTTCTCCCTCTGAAGTGAAGTGAAGTGAAGTCGCTCAGTCGTGTCCGACTCTTTGCGACACCGTGGACTATGGCTTACCAGGCTCCCCCGTCCATGGGATTTTCCAGGCCAGAATACTGGAGTGGTTTGCCATTGCCTTCTCCAGGGGACCTTCCCGACCCAGGGATGGAACCTGGGTCTCCCGCATTGCAGGCAGACGCTTTACCATCTGAGCCCCCAGGGAAGTCCTTTCTCCCTCGAGGTCTTGGGAAACCAAGCACCTTTCACGTGTAATTAGAGTGAGCGCCCAGGAGTCAAGTATGTGGTCTTAGGCAAGATTTCTAAGTCATTGCACTGGGATTGGCAGGGCACTAAGCTTGTTTCCCAATCACCCAAGAGGAACCATCTGGCAGCCCATCAGCCCGTCAGCCCTGGGGGATGGAGCAGCCAGCCTCTCCCCGCAGAAGCGGGGGAAACTAAGTGCCCGAGCACACTCCCTGGGAGCGCTGCGTGTCAGCGCCTCCGCAGACTTTCTTTCCCTTATTCCTCTCGGTGGCCGAGCGGGTCTCCTGGTCGCAGCCCCATTTTTACAGAAAAGGAAACTGAGGCTCAGAGAGCTGACACCATTTGCTTGACGTCACATAGCAAGGAAGAAGACCAGCCAAGATTTGAAACCAGGGCACCTCTGATTCTAGGGCCTGAACTCTTAAAAACAACTGGCCATGTCTCCCTGACTCTAGAGTTTGCAGAGTTTCACCCTCCCCAACTCCTGTCTGCTCTGGTGGGATCCCTATGAAAGAAAGGCACGTGCTGTGCCTCTGGGCAGAAACCCACAGTTGCGGGAGCCAGCGTTATCACGAGCTGATGTCGGCCCCGGGCAGGATTTTCTGTTAACCTCCTGCCTTGGAGTTCAGGAGACTCTACCGGAAGGCCACAGGAGCCCGGGAAGGGGGGAGTGGAAACAGGAGGAGGTGGAGGCAGGAAGGGGAAGAGGAGGCGGAGAGGTGACGCCAGGCGAGAAGGCAGTGCCGTCAGAGAACGCAGGAAAGACTGCATTCCCCTGTTCCCTGGGCGTCAGCACTGGGGCTCAGTTCATTCCCCGGTGCTTGCTGAGGACGTGCTCTGCCCCAGGCCCAGGCGAGAGAGAGGCCGCGGTGCAGCTGGGGCAACACGGAAGGAGTCCCGGCCCTGGCGGGGGGCACACGCTGATGGGGGCAAGACCAGCCAAGAGCCATAGCCATCTGGGGGGGGCCGGCCATCCTCCTGGGGCTGATAAGTTGAGACGAGGGAGGTGAGGGGGCCGGGGGTCCTTCAGGCCTCTTGGAGGAGCTGGTTCTGGGAAGGACGGCTGCTGCTGCCCTGTGGGGGACCCCAGCCAGCACTGCTCCCCCCACTGCCTGGCGCCTGTGCCCTGCGCCCACCTCACCCCGTCCGCTTTGCTCTCCGCAGGTTTGACATCTATAGGAAGGTGCCCAAGGACCTCACACAGCCGACGTACACCGGGGCCATCAGTGAGTAGCCCCTTCGCACCCCCATCCTGCCTGTGCCCACCCACCCTCTGCAGAAATGCTGGGCCGGGGAGGGGAGACGGGGGGACAGGCAGACGGAAGATAGGATGGGCATCTTGCCGGGCCCTGTATCTAGTCAGTGCTTCAGCCCAGCCATGTCCTCACTGTAACCCCACAAAGCATAGCATCACCTGTTTCTGGAAGGAGACACCAGAAATCATCAAGGGTAGCTGCCCCTGGGAGGGGAAGTGGTGCCTGGGGGTTGGAGGAAGACCGACTTTTCTCTCCACACCTTTTGGACTATGTGAGGTTTTGATCTAAAGATGTTTCTATCCCTTTTAAAAAAGTAATAATCTCTCACAGATTTTGGTTTCTGATTGCCAGTCTTCACTAAAAGGATGCAGGCTCCTGGGAGAAATGGCTGAGAGCAGGGCTGGGGCAAGAAGTGTACACAGTAAACCTGGACTCCTTGTGTAGGAAAGCAAAAAAAGTGCACAGAGGGGAAAAAAGGGTGGGGGCATGTCACCAGGCCCCAGGAGCCAACCTGAAAGATGGCACTCCCCGACCTGGGGCAGTTTGAGTAACACAATCAATAATGGTATGGACTTCCCTGCTGATCCAGGGGTTAAGAATCTGCCTGCCAATGCAGGGGACACGGGCTCGATGCCTGGTCTGGGATAATTCCGCATGCCGCGGAGCAACCAAGCCCATGCACCTCAACCACGGAGCCCGCGAGCCAAAGCTAAAGAGAAGGCACCGCATTGAGAAGCCTTTGCACTGCAACTAGAGAGCTGCCACCACTCCTTGCAACGAGAGAAAGCCTGCGTGCAACAATGAAGACCCAGCATAGCCATAAATAAAGGAAATAAAAAGGATAACACTGTTGGCTTATTATCAGGGAATTAAGAAAAAGGTCCATGAGTCTGGAGTGATCTAAATAATGGGGGAGAAAGGATGGATCTTCCTTATAGAGGAATTCTAAGTGATATATATGAGTATATCCCCTTCCACGAGGTACAAATTAACTCTCCTCTCCTGGAGTGTGGGCTAGTGACGCGCTATTAAAAAGGGCAGAATGGAAAGGAAATAGTGACTGTGATGGAGACATCCAGAGGTGGCCCCAGGATTGAGTAATGAAGGTTAGCATCAGCCAGTGAGAGAGCAGTCACGTGGATGCCATCCATCCCACCCTGACCGTGGGGTATGACGGGAAGAGCAGCTCACCTCCGTGGGATCCTCCGCCTAAACCACAACCGGGTGCAGTCACGGGAACGCAGCAAACCCCTCCCCCAATCCAGCCTGGGGGACCCTCTGCAGGGCACCTGGCCAGCACTCTTCAAAGGTGGCAAGGTCTTGAGAACCAAGAAAAGACTTGAGGAACCGTCACAGATTTGAGACTAAGGACACAATGACGAATGGCAAAATGGGATCCCAGGCCTGGTCCTGGAACAAAAAATGGGCACCAGTGGGGAAATCAATGATCTAATAAATCTGTAGCTTAGTCAGCAGTTGTACAGTGTTAATTTCTTCAATTTGACCAACATACCAGCATTATATAAGGTGTTAACAAAGGGGAACTGAATGAAGAGTGTATGGGAACTGCCTGTGCTATTTTTGTGTTCTTATTCCTCGATAAAGTTTATTTTAAATAAAAACAAACCAAAATCAGCTTGCAAGCAGCAATGCTCTACCCACGTTTTCCCAATGAGAAAATGGACTCAGAGAAGTGAAGCGACTTGTCTGAAGTTTCACAACTTGCAAGAGGTGGGCCCCTCTCTACCCACCCTCACCTCTCCAGCTCTTGGTGTGGGAGAGGGACCCTCCCCATGGCCAGCCCCCTGAGCAGGGCCTCCCAGGGCAGGCTGCTGTCAGGTCGTCAATGACCTAGGGGACTCCCTGCAGCCCGGCCGGCCCTGCCTCACTCTCCCTCCCTCCAGCTTCGGTCATCCAAGCTCCAGGTGCCTTCTGGAGCCTGGACGTCCCCATGCCTGGAGAAGAGGACAGAGCAGTCTGGCAGCAGGCTTCGGGTCTGGCAGAGCTGGGCTCATCCTCCCTTTTAGCAGATGGGTGACCTTGGGAAAGTCGGTGCACCCTCTGAGCCTCAGTTTTCTGATCTGAGGATTAAATGTGACCACACCTGTCAAGCGTAGGACACAGCCAAACCCTCCGCGCTTGGGACACAGGCCTGTTCTCATTACTGTCTTCCTGGAGCCTGTGGCCCATGAGGATCGGTGACTGCAGAAGCTGTGGCACTTTGTGCCTTGATCCTCAAGGAAAAGGTATTGGGGGACATGAAGAAAGGGGCTTGTTCATCTATCCATTCAATTAATTTGTGAACCTTGGTCACAAAATTCCAGTGAGGTTTCCTGTCTTCTTCCTATAAGCAACCAAGAGCTCAGACCATTTCTTTGCAGGCTCTGCAGTCCTCTCCCTTGTCAAATATGTTTAACAATCAGGTCTGTGTCCTAGAATTAAAAAACAAAAACAAAAACATATTCAGGCCTTGAAATATCTGCATCGTCATTTTACCTACTCTCTCCAAGCGGAGTGTCTAGACACACCATCCCTCCCCGCCCTTTTCCAGCTGCTGTCCTGCACACCTTTCAGACCAGCCTGTCGATGGCCACCACGTGCTTCTTGCCAGCTGTGTTGTGTTCCATCATCCACCGCCCCACAGTTTACATAACCAGCCTCCTGAGGGTGGGCGTTCTGATCCCAGCTTATTGCTATCACAGACAGCCTTGTCCATATGTTTTTGTATCCTTGTATGGTTATTTCTGTAAGGTGATCTTCCTAGAAGAGGAATTACCGGGTCACAGCACATGTGCATTGTAAAATGGAGAAGGTACTGCCAAATGACCCTCCAGGGACGTGGCCTGCTCTGCAGGCTGGAGCGCAGTGTGCAAAAGGGCAAGTTTCTTTGCATGGGAGGAAAGGCGTGAGCGTGGGAAGCCAGCCCTTACCGACCATTGAGTGAGCAAACATTTACCCACCAGGTCTGGGGCCAGGCCCTGTGCCAAGTCCCGGGACCACACTGATGAATGGGCTTCGGTCATTGTTCTTGAAGAGCGTGTGGCTGAGCAGGAGGGCAGGCACAGAAACACACCATTTCCTGACGCCACTCAGTGCTATTAATAACCGAAGGCAGCAGCAAGCGTGCTGGACACTCAGAGGTCGAGGTTTGAGTTTTGCCTCGGCCGTGTGGCCTTGAACAAATCCCTCAACTTGCCGGTGTCTGGGGTCTTGGGTCCAGTGCCCCCTTTGCTGGTTCCACTGGGTCTCCCAGGAGTGAGCATCTGCCTGGGGTCACATTCCTACTGTCCCCTGCCTGAGTCAGTTTCAGAAGAAGTCTGGAGTTGGAGTGCCTGAGCATCTTGCCCAAACATGGATTGAAAAACCCTTCAGTATCAGAAGGCTTTTCTGGTGGAAATGCTTCCTACCTGTCTCCATGTTTTGTTTTTCACTCATTCGCTCACTCGCTCAGATATTTATTTCCTGCCTTCTCTGAGCCAGGCGCTATGCTGAGCCCCGAGGCCCCAGTGGTGCTGAGCTGTTGTCTGTCCTGCCAGTCTGGAAACAGTGTACGGACAGTGGCCCCTCAGCCTGGACTGCTGGATGCTGGGGTTCAGCTGAACAAACTCTGCACTCACCCCCTTGCTGGGTCCAAGCCTGGGCCATCTGCAGGCCTGGGGCAAGGAAGGCAGCTAGAAAATTTGGATTCATCTAAGGAGGCATTGACCTTCAAAATCACCTCCCAAGTCTGTGCCTGTTCATCATTATAGCAACCAGTTGTCTTCTGGGGCTTGAAGGTGGGATGGAAGGGGTGAAAATGACTGAAACGTGAGCCAGAAAACGCGCGAGATTGCAGGTGAAGGGTGCTTTGCCCTGCTGGCTGGGTGTTTTTTTGTTTTTTTCTTTTTATATCAGGAGGCATCATAGCTGCAGTGGCTTATTTGCAGGTAAGAAGGGGAGGGCTGTGAGTCTGGGAAATTTGGATTGCCAGCTGGTCTTCTGCAGTGGATTTATTCAGCAGCTGGAGAAGACATTTGACGTTAATTTCTATGCCATGAAAACAAGCCACATGGCCACTCTGTATAAGCTGATGTGACTCCTGCCTGGATGTAGATTGCTGCATGCGCAAAGCATGTGGACATTGTGCTCTTTGCTTAGAGGAGAAACTCAGATGCTCGTGGCAGGACACAGGACTGTAAGGGCAGCACCTCTGGGCAGGGGCTGTGGCTCGGGAGTGAGGAGACGCACACGGCGTGCCTTTTTATGCAGATTGATGGTTTTTCTTGCCCCGGGTCTGGGTGTGGGTCTGGGGCTTGGTGGGCACTCTGGGGTGTCCCTGTGCCATCCTGCTCTTGGGGTCTGAGATCTCAGGGTCCTTTTCTTAGGGCACTGGCTGCAGAACGGTCAGGTTTCAGCCCCCCACCCTGCCCCTGCCTGCCACCCAGTGTGTTCGGGGTCAGAGTCTTCCCCTCTCTGAGCCTTCCTTTTTACACCCTCTGTGAGGGCTTGCGCCCTCTGTCACACGGCAGCGTGACGTGATACGTGTCTGTTAACGTTCCCACAACACGACATGTGTTAGGGGCCCCTCAGACACTTGTTCTCCGCCTTCTTCCCTCCGAACACATCTTTGCCTGTTTGTTTTGCCATGAACAGATGATGCAGTAATAATGATGCTTCTGATGATTAACGCCTGGCTTCAGCATCCATCAGGATGGCTTGGTCCACCCGGTGCTGGCTGTCGAGAATGTCGTAGGTGGGACTGACTGAGAACTTTCTTCCTTAGTGGGAAACTGAGGGTCAATCCATTTGTCAAATCACCTTCCTGAAAGCAGCAAACCCACCAGGGTCTCCCTGGTGAAGATCCTAAAATGAGCTACTGCTTGCACCGTTATCACCTGCCAGGCACCGTTTGAAGCCGTGTCTGTGTTGTGGAAATTCTCAAGCAGTCCCATAAGGCAGGTGTTACTGCCGGTGCCGTTTTGCAGATGAAGAAACAAGCGAGAGAGGTTGAGTAACTTGCCCAGAGACACACAGCATGTGAGTAGCAGGCGCACTGTGGGAACCCTTGCCCATGACACGTCTCTGTGATTTACCCCGATGAGGCGCGCTGAGCCCGTGTTCTGTATTTCGGGGGCGGCTCCCTGCCTTCCACAAAACTGGTTATCACCTTCTGTGCACCCAGTCCCAGGCTAGACACTGGAGTTGTGGAGTTTTTGCCTTCCGAGTTATCAAACTAGTGAGAGGCAGGGCTGCAGATAATCAGTAACATGTGGAAGGTGTTCAAATGGAGGCTGGTAGCACAGAGGAAGGAGGGACCAGTTCCACCTCCACTGCTGGATGCTGGGGTTCAGCTGAACAAACTCTGCACTCACCCCCTTGCTGGGTCCAAGCCTGGGCCATCTGCAGGCCTGGGGCAAGGAAGGCAGCTAGAAAATTTGGATTCATCTAAGGAGGCATTGACCTTCAAAATCACCTCCCAAGTCTGTGCCTGTTCATCATTATAGCAACCAGTTGTCTTCTGGGGCTTGAAGGTGGGATGGAAGGGGTGAAAATGACTGAAACGTGAGCCAGAAAAGGTGCGAGATTGCAGGTGAAGGGTGCTTTGCCCTGCTGGCTGGGTGTTTTTTTGTTTTTTTCTTTTTATATCAGGAGGCATCATAGCTGCAGTGGCTTATTTGCAGGTAAGAAGGGGAGGGCTGTGAGTCTGGGAAATTTGGATTGCCAGCTGGTCTTCTGCAGTGGATTTATTCAGCAGCTGGAGAAGACATTTGACGTTAATTTCTATGCCATGAAAACAAGCCACATGGCCACTCTGTATAAGCTGATGTGACTCCTGCCTGGATGTAGATTGCTGCATGCGCAAAGCATGTGGACATTGTGCTCTTTGCTTAGAGGAGAAACTCAGATGCTCGTGGCAGGACACAGGACTGTAAGGGCAGCACCTCTGGGCAGGGGCTGTGGGTCGGGAGTGAGGAGACGCACACGGCGTGCCTTTTTATGCAGATTGATGGCTTTTCTTGCCCCGGGTCTGGGTGTGGGTCTGGGGCTTGGTGGGCACTCTGGGGTGTCCCTGTGCCATCCTGCTCTTGGGGTCTGAGATCTCAGGGTCCTTTTCTTAGGGCACTGGCTGCAGAACGGTCAGGTTTCAGCCCCCCACCCTGCCCCTGCCTGCCACCCAGTGTGTTCGGGGTCAGAGTCTTCCCCTCTCTGAGCCTTCCTTTTTACACCCTCTGTGAGGGCTTGCGCCCTCTGTCACACGGCAGCGTGACGTGATACGTGTCTGTTAACGTTCCCACAACACGACATGTGTTAGGGGCCCCTCAGACACTTGTTCTCCGCCTTCTTCCCTCCGAACACATCTTTGCCTGTTTGTTTTGCCATGAACAGATGATGCAGTAATAATGATGCTTCTGATGATTAACGCCTGGCTTCAGCATCCATCAGGATGGCTTGGTCCACCCGGTGCTGGCTGTCGAGAATGTCGTAGGTGGGACTGACTGAGAACTTTCTTCCTTAGTGGGAAACTGAGGGTCAATCCATTTGTCAAATCACCTTCCTGAAAGCAGCAAACCCACCAGGGTCTCCCTGGTGAAGATCCTAAAATGAGCTACTGCTTGCACCGTTATCACCTGCCAGGCACCGTTTGAAGCCGTGTCTGTGTTGTGGAAATTCTCAAGCAGTCCCGTAAGGCAGGTGTTACTGCCGGTGCCGTTTTGCAGATGAAGAAACAAGCGAGAGAGGTTGAGTAACTTGCCCAGAGACACACAGCATGTGAGTAGCAGGCGCACTGTGGGAACCCTTGCCCATGACACGTCTCTGTGATTTACCCCGATGAGGCGCGCTGAGCCCGTGTTCTGTATTTCGGGGGCTGGCTCCCTGCCTTCCACAAAACCGGTTATCACCTTCTGTGCACCCAGTCCCAGGCTAGACACTGGAGTTGTGGAGTTTTTGCCTTCCGAGTTATCAAACTAGTGAGAGGCAGGGCTGCAGATAATCAGTAACATGTGGAAGGTGTTCAAATGGAGGCTGGTAGCACAGAGGAAGGAGGGACCAGTTCCACCTCCAAGGGCTGGAGGAGCTTCCCACCAGAAGGGACAATTGAGTTGGGCTTCAGCCCGAGAGGATGAGTAGGAGTTCACCTGGCAGAGATGGTGAGCAAGGAGGAGGAGTGAAGATGGGGAGGTACCTTCCAGACAGAGGGTGCTCACAGTTAGGAACCAGCACACGGTCCGGGGGCGCTGTTGGGAGATGGGGCTGGAGAAGAATTGAGGGCCAGCCCCGGGGGTGCTTGTTATGTCCTGCCCCAAGGAGTGACCGCAGGGTCACAGATCCCAGCCTCGCCCGGGAGCCAGGCAGGCGAGACAAACATGAGTGACGTGGGACGACCCTGGCGCTCCATCCCACTCACTGCGTTTCAGGCTCGTAGGACCCTCAGTCACCCCCACGGAGAGCCTTCTCTGGAAGCACGGCTCTGGGTGTCCTCAGTTCTCACCTCTGATGGGGACTCGGGCCCGTTGATGAGCCCACAGCAGGCAGGGAGAGATGGCAGTGGACACCCCGCCTCAGCCTTGGAATCTGGGTGGCAGGAGGGAATGCTGAGGCCTGAGGCAAACTGGTGAGCTCAGGCCACCCCCTCATGGAAACAGAGCTCGATTGTTCTGCAACAGCCAGAAATCGGGACTGTAATGTGACATCTCCACATTATTCGACGTCGAGGCCAAGGTTTTTTCTTGGTTTGCTGTTATTTTGGCTGCGGTGGGTCGTCACTGGGGCGCACAGGCTTTCCCCTGTTACAGTGTGTGGGCTTCGTTTTCCCACGTCACATGAGATCTTAGATCCTGGACCAGCGATCGAACATGCATCCCCTGCATCGGAAGGTGGATTCTTTACCACTGAACCACTAGGGAAGTCCCTCCAAGTGTAAATATGTATATCTGTTGAGCCGAACAGAACACATCTGTGGGCCACTGATTTGCAGCTGTCATTTTGTAACTGATGTCTGTGTTAAAATGTTCTTGTGGAAAGAAGCTGGGCTGGCCCCTCCGAGGACTGGCACTGGCCCTTGGCCCATAGGAAACCAGGCTGCACTGCAGGAAGGAAGCGGCGGGTGAGGATGGAAGCGCCATCCGCCACTCCCCATCTCTTGCATTACTGCCTGACCCCTCTCTCCACTCCCACCCGTCCCCCTCCACGGAAAAACTGTCTTCCATGGAATCAGTCCCTGGTGCCGGAAAGGTCGGGGGCCGCTGCCTTGGAGGATCTGCCCAAATCGGGGGCTCTGTCCCCACGGGAGGGTCAGATCAGCCAGAGGTGGCCTCCCTTTGTGGGAGGGGGGCTGCCTCGCGTGCGGGCCGAGAGGGGGAAGGGGCTCTGGGGGGACCTGTGGGCCTCTGTCCCCCTCCCTGTAGGCAGCTTCTGTCTGCGGGCGGGCGGGCCCCTCCTGCCGGCGCCCAGCACCGCTTAACTGGGCGTCTGTGTCGTTTCTTTCAGTCTCCATCTGCTGCTGCCTCTTCATCCTCTTCCTCTTCCTCTCGGAGCTCACCGGATTCATAACCACAGAAATGTAAGTTATATCCCCCCGGGGGTGGAGGCCGTTCCAGAGGTCCCGGGGACCCCAGACAAGAAGAGGGAGGGGCTTGACAAAGGAGAGAAACCTCCGAACCTTCCGCCTCCCAGTGTGAAAGCCTGGGGCATCAATTCCTCCTCTGTTTCCTAAAGAGTTTTAAAGCCAGACTGAAAACTAATGTCGCTTTGTTGAAGCCGAAGAGAAAACTTTGGTTCCCTTCTGGGGTCCGGATGGCGCCTCCTGGGTCCGCAGAGGAGCAGAAATCATTTGCTCATGTTTGCCATCTCTGCGTTTGGCCAGTGGGCTTTTTTCCCTCTGAGTCATCACAGGGTCATTTGATGTTAGAGCTGGAAGAATTCAGAGGAAAAAAAGAGGGCAGCTCTCTACCCACGTGGAGGCAAGGCTCTGACATCAGAGGGCAGCCCCTCCACCACGTCCCCTCCCCTGTCCTGAGCCCACACTGCGTGAGGAGTCCGCGTGGGCTTCCTGGCAGTGATTGACGCATTGTGAATGCATCCCGGATTCCTAGAATCATCTGTTGTCTAGATAACCCAGTAAATCCTCTGGGGCCTGTGTAACATCGAATGCCACTGGAATTATTCAGTCACGGCCTCATCAGATGCCCCTCCAAGATGAATTAGACCCAGAAGCTTCCTGCCTTCACCTCTGGCTTCCAGACCTCTTCATTTCCATGTTTACAACCCAGAAAGTCATCACGGGGCTGGGCTGTGGCCACCCACTCTCCTGTCCAACACTGGAATTCTCTTTTTCACTCATAGAATCTCTTGGTGTCCTGTGCCTCCCCGTCAGCCACAAGACAGTAGGAGACGGGGAAGCATAGCTGCACAGCCCAGGATGGTCCTTGGTGCAGCCGTCCCCGCCGTTCATCTGCAGACATCCCCTCGTCTTTACAGACGAGGAAACTGAGCCTCAGAGAGGCAAGGGGACCTGCCCACGTCCCGCCTCTCCCCCCACCCCTCCGCCACAACTCGCTTCTGAATATAGCTTTCTGCCCTCCTCTGATGTGGGAGACTTTGTCTTCCTTGTTCCTCTGATCCTGTTTGTAGCCCTGATGGCACCACAGCCCCAGGGGCCACATGGAGCAGTGGAAAGACTGGACGAGGCCGTGGGAGATCCAGGGTCAGGCCAGCTACTCTGTAATGCTGGACAAGGTGCCACCCCCTCTGGGTCCCGGTGTTGCTGGCCCAACAAGGGAGGGCACACCAGAATCCAGGCACCCTTCCAGGCCCAAGGAGGCTCGTCTCCTTCCTAAGACACGCTCCTTGACCAGGCAGGGGTCAGACAGAGCACCTAGTTCCCCCCAGAACGGACTCCGTCCTAGTCAATTGTGTATATTTGGGCCACTGGATATTTCACGGGTCATCCCATCATGATTTGGAGGTAGAAGCAGGGAGAGCAGCCAGAAATTGAGACCTGCTGGCATTATGAAGGACCTACTGTGTGCCAGGCACACCCCATTCCCTGGGAGGGGGGCTGCTGTGCAGACTACTCATGTTCTAGATGAGGTGAGAAGGGGTCCCCACGTGGCAGCTGCGAGGAGGCAGCCCTGACCGTGTCCCAGGTACCAGGTACAAGGCTTTAGGTATTCTAGGCAGGGACACTGGCAAGTACAAAGGCCCTGAGGCAGAGGTTACCCAGTGTGCGTATAGAGAGCGGGTGTGTATAGAGCCAAGTGAGCGAAAGGGAGAGCAGAACGTGGGGCAGGTGGCCGCTGTGCACTGCTGTAGGTCAGTGCGGATCACCCTTGGTCCTGACCCTGGAAGTCTGGGGTGAGGTCTGCCTGGCTCGCTCCTGTGTGACTGCATGCTCAAGAGGAGCCAAAGATGCAGGCAGTGGATACAGACGGTCAGCAGGCCAAAAAAAATGGTATGTGTCAGTCAGTGATAGGGCTCTGAAGAAAAAGCAGGATGGGAGATAAGGAAGGTATGTGGTGTTTTGTGAGATTTTAGCAAGATTATTTACCTACAAGGAGCTTAATATAGTGCCTTATGTACTTTAATATCAGTAGATGCATATCCCTTCAGACATTTATTCATTTCATGTTTCTTCCCTGTGTAACAGAAAAAAGCAGTGTGTGTACGGAGTGCTTGTGAGTGTTCTTTGTCCCTTCCCTTGAGTTAAGAACGGGCCTCCCGCGCCTTCTGCCGACATCCTGAGGGGCAGTTCCTTCAGCTGATCGTCCGCTTTGCCCGTAGTGAGGTGGGGTGCCCAGCAGGTGCGTTTGGGCGTCAGAGCCGGTGACTGCGGCAGGAGGAGCCTGCGGCCGTGTGCACGCCGGCCAGCTCGCCCACCTACCGGGGCGGGGCCCGCCTTCCCCTGGAGCACGGTGTGTCCCCACCACTCTGGCCCGGTCCCCTTTCCGGGACGTCCTCTTCTTGGCTCCTGGGGGCGTTCTGGACACTCTGGCCCCACCATGTCCCTGGACAGGAGGAAACATGAGGGGTGAGGGGCGGAATCTAAACACGAGGGGCCATTCACTCAGTGCTTGCCTTGCATCCAGCTCTGGGCTGATGAGCACCGCCCCGCGGGGAGAGAGGGAGGGCAGGGGCGTGAGGGGAGAGGCCTGTTGGGGCCAGAGGCTCCATCCATGATGATGCAGTGACCCTAGTGCTTCCTTTCTCTCCGCTGGCTCGTGCCCAAGGAGCAGGAGCTGCCCAGAGGGCGTTCTCAGGGGCGAGGACTCCACGGAACATTCCAGAGGAGTAGGAGTTGTGCCTTGGGGTCCTTCCTCTCTCAGAAGCTTCTTTGACTGCCCTGGCCCCCAGGAAGCCCTGCTGGTCCAGAAAGGACTAGGGGTCACAGTTCTTCTCCTTTGCGGGATGGCTGGCCCTCCCTGGCAGTTTGGTGACCACAGCGGATCAGCCTCCCCATTCCCCACTGTGAAATTGTAACCCAAGGAGATGAGGTCACCGCTGGTGGATCAACATCGCTCCAGCACTGGCCTGTGGTTATCAGTGACATAAGAGGCTATTCTGGCCCAGCCCGGTGGAGAGGGAGACCTGTTTGCGTGGTTGGACTTTGACCCGGCCATTAATTATCCGTGGGAAAGTGGCCCTGCGGGGTGCCCAGAGGCTCCGTGTTCCAGGGGAATGGCACCCGTCCTCAGAGGACATGGCCACAGTACATTCCAGCCTTTGACTGCCCAGGCTCTGTCTCCTCTCAATTATTAACTTGATGAGGATTTTTAATTTAAAAAATGTGGTCACTGGATCTCTCCATTGACCATTTATAGCTTAATACAACTCATTGTACTTTCCAGTTTTGATTTATAGTGGGTGACCATGTGCTGGCCACTTAACTCAGCACTTTACAATGCTCATCTCTCTTCATGGTCACAGAACCCCTGGCGCCAAGTACGGCTGTTGGCATCAGTCTCACTTTATAGCTGAGGAAACTGAGGCACCAAGAGGCTAAAACCATAGCAAGGTTGGTTAGTGAGCAGTCTGAGCAAGAACCGGTCCAGGCCTGTCTGAGGGCAAAGCCTAGACTTGGTACCAGGCCCCCGTATCCTGCTCTTTTCTGTTCAGAGCATTTTAGAGCCCTAGGGACATGGGAACTCCTGTTTTTTGGTAGGAATAGTTCCCTGAGAGACTTACATCCTCCATTCTAGGGGCAAGGTGACTGCACAGGCAGGCGGCCCTTGCCCACCGAGTTGGAACTTGGGCATTTCCCTGAATTAATTGGGCATTATCCTCACACGCAGGCCCCTAGTGGGGTGGCCAGTAGCTTAGCCAGGAGGAGGGGCTGGATGGCTCCCTAGGAGCCCAGGTTACCCACTCTGAGGTCTGGATTGGGAGCCCAAGCTGGGTAGAGAGCCATGGTCGCCCCTTGGAGGAGCAGCAGGAGGCCTGAAAGCTTCTGAGCAGAATGATGGGATCAGGTTTGTGCCTTGGAAAGATCACCTCTTGCAAAGATGGGTGTGGGACGAGGTGACCCTGGAGGCCAAGGCCTGTTAAGAGGGGCTGAATGATGACCCAGGACAGAGGGGCTGAGGGTCCCAGGGCGATGGCTATGGGGAAAGGGGCGGGGGCAGGACTAGGTGGCTGGAAAAAGATGCTTTCTGGACATCCGCCTAGTAGGTCATAGTTGGACTTGCCCCTGGAACTGTCAGGATTTCAAACTCAGGGTCCCAGAGAGCTTGCCTGCCTAACCTCATCCCTCTCCTACCACTCCCACCCAGGCCCTTACCGCGAGCCTCACTGCTGTGTAAGTTTCCATTAAGTCAAATGATTAAGCATGGAGGTCAGCAACTTTGGGCAGGAATCCGAAGTATTCAAGTACTTTTCTAAAAGCAAATAAAATTGTTTTCCGTAGATGTCATCGGACTCACGCCTCAGCCTAGGATTTCAAGTCCCTCTGTTAACATTCCACTTACCCTCCCCTGCCCACACCTCCCCAGTCCCTCTTTTCCTCTCTCCCTACGTGGCTGCTGCTCACTGACTGACCCCCCATGCTGGCTGGCGTCCCCCACCTGGAGTGTGCCTCGCCCCAGCAGAGGTCGTGAGCATGCGCTTTCTGCTGCCGGTCCAGGGAGCCCTTGTCTGGGCTGGGGGCTGGGGGCAGGGAGCAGATGCTGAAGCCCACCAAGGGGCTAAGGCAGCGATGACAAAGGGCGGGGCAGAAGGGAGTGGACCCCTTACCCCTCCACACCCGGGAGGTGCTTGGCCAGGGGTGGGGTGAGGTGGGCTGGGCGTCTGGAGTTCATCAGAAAGATGGTGGCCCCTGCATCACAGGCCTCCGTGGGAGCCACCTGCCTCTCGGTCTTTCATTGATCCGTCCCATCCAGTGGAATGCAGTAGAAAGAGCATGGCTCTGGGCACCGGTGACTCCGGCTTCAGATTCTGCCTCTCTGGTCTCCCAGCTGTGTGATCTTGGCCAGTCCTTTATCTGTCTTCCTCTGAGCCCAGTTTCATCCTTGTGAAAAGAGAACAGTAACCCCTATTAAATGCTGGTGCGCCGTGAGTATTAAACGAGCT